GATTTCTTTTGTTTGAACGGGCACCAGGGCCCCACTACGTAGTGCCGTGTAGTGCTCCATAGTGGAGCGGCCCCACTATGAAGCACTATGCATACCCAGACCTGCACTACAGCCACTATGGCACTATGGCCACTACATAGTGCTGTGTAGTGGCATATAGTGGACCCATGTTTTACTAATGAAGATGAACGAGGCAACTGATCAGGAGATTTGCGATGCCGTGAAAGAGAGGCTGGCGGATGAGAAAATGCTGGAAATCAATGGCGGCGACGATGACGATTCGGCAGCCCAGGTGCCCAGGCCGTTGTGTTGACAAGCTTTGGAGGCGGTGTCCACCCTTCGGGAGTATATCTTGGATTGCGATGACATGTTTGCACGCCAGTTCGAGGCCATCCTGGCCGGATTTGGGCGCCAGACGCGTCTGGATGACATGAAAGCCATGAGGGACACTCAAATGACTGATTACTTTGGTAGAATAGCCGCAGAGAACCAGTAAGTAGTCGTACATGGCTATAGAGTTCAAATTGACCATAAAAATTTGACCTTTTTCGTAACCCATATCCCCTTATAACCCATACCTTGAGCCGTCCACGGACAGGCATGGGTTATTAGGACTTCGACTGTAAATCGAAAAACCTGCATTCCTATCTTGCTGAAGTGAGTTGTTGTCCTATACAGCCATCCGAAGTGAATGTTGAACCAATGTCTTCTAGGATCCAAACATGAAGAGGTCAGTATTCGTGCTGATCCATGAAAATACAAGTAACTTTATGCAATACTGATAGCTTTTTCAACCATGTGCTGTACCTTCCAAAGCGATCCGTTTCGCTGAACCTTGAAGATGACTCTTCTCATTATTTGGTGTTTGGGCCCAGCCATCGATACGAACAGTTTCGGAAATCGTGGACATCGGGTTCGGACATCGAAAGTCTTCATGGCGGCACTCGGGAAGTTTTCGTGGATTTCAATGATTGGATAGTGTATGTCGGCACTTACAAGTGCCATGATCTGCATCACCTATATCCGAAGGGCATGCCGATACTTGCACAGACTGTGAGTTGTGGTCGCCTTTTCAATTCCTAGCTTCTAATCTGTGAATCAGTCTCACAGAGAAATCCTAGACACAACCGTCTGGGTTCCCACTCCCGCAGGCTCGATGCAACTAATCAAACAGATGTTCCAAGATGGAATCATCGTGGTGGCCACCGGACTACAATCCGTAGGCTTCACAAATTCCTGTATGATTCACTGCGTCGGAGGTTCGCAGAGAAGTGTGCCGCGGAGGAGCGTCCCAAGGAGGACGCTAAGCACAAGGGGGACGGTTCCGGAGAAGTGCCGCAACGCAAGAAACCGAGAACATCCGTATAAATATCTTTCGGCGTGTGTTTCGATGCGTCTATATTTTTGTAATACACTAAAAATACAGGCAGCGAGTAATAACCCTTCCGTTATGTATAAGTAGATAACTATTAACGAGTGTGTATGAGCCTTGGGGAAAGCAGTGGCCGGCTTCTGCCTGGCAGGCGCTACTTTCGGTCTATAGGTTAGGTAAATATACACAAAACGGAGTAGCTTTTGATGTGGATCAGCCATTGGGCCGACGTTGGCCAACGCCATTCCACAACAAAATATAAAAGCCCGAGCTGCAACCGAGCTGAGCGTTCTGGTGCACACAGAAAAGAAGAAAAAAATTGGTTGCTACATGAACATCTGGAAGAAGAGCTTGGTAGTGAGTGCATCAGGTTTTAACAACTTGTTGGGTCTTGTACAAGCTTGTTATCTGTTCTCAGTTTTCGATTTTCCGCCCTCGTGTTTCTTTTTAAGGCATTCCCGCTTTGGGAACGGCACACCCGGCCAACTAGTATTTCGATCTCTGCCGGTCAAGAGTTGTCACACCGGGTAAAGTTAGTGGCAGCGAGCTTGGCAGCGCTCTGCAAAATTGCTGAATCCAGAAATGAAAAGGAATATCCTGATAGAGCATAAGAGATTATGCATGAATTTATAATGCTAGATACATGAAGTTTAAATATAACTGGGATACAGCTAGCTACACTATAACGAGCCTTATGGGGGCGTCAAATAGGGAGCTTGGTGAGAGGGAAGAGGGGTAAAAGAACAGGGGCATGAAGCACTCACGATGACTCGCGCTCCGTCGCATTTGTCGTGTGAAATATAGCTGCGCATGCACCATGACCGGACAGTGGCATGCACCGCCGGATGCATGTTCAGCAGTGTTGGTGCGGCGGAGAGTAGAAAGCGGGAGGGTAATTTCGTTGTGAAACAGGTGCGAGGAGAGCTGCAGTGGAGTGCATTGCAACGGTGACAAACACGTCGCGAGATGCATCGCCGGAAAGGTTGGCCGCAGAGACCCAAGAGCTGGCGACGCCAGTGGTTCAAGGAGGCCGCCGTGGATATGGGTTAACACAGAAGATAGAACGTGTCGGCGACGGGAGTGGGGGCGACCGACGAGCTGGCGACGCTGGTGGCATGGTGGGCGGAGGAGAGGATTGAATGCTGTGACCTGTAACACGTCGGGGTTTGAAACTTTCCTGCCGTGCCGAACGCGTGCGAATCAAAAATTCCTAATAAGGAGATGCTTAGTCACGAGTACGAGGGCGGAAAGTCAAAGACTTCCGTTCTCTCAACGAAATCTCTGAATTCATTTGTACATGCTTGGTTCTATCTCCATATGGCTGTATCCCCTTTGAAAGTCCTCTTGCTTAATGCTTTTTCAGTGCCTTTGCCGACTCATTTCTTCCTGCGGAAGTCGCTGCGCTGCAGTATTTTAGTCTTCAGAGATCCAAAATCTTCGAATGCGCCATTTGGACAGAACAGATGACCCGTTCGCTGACTTCTGCACAAGCTTCGGACTACGCAATTTGGCTAAAATCGTTTCTACCACAAAATAATGAACTGCGGCTCGCTGGATTGGGAACTTTCTGGCTCGCAGACACGCCACGCGGTTCAACAGCTTTCAACTGCTGCTGAAAGAAATCCTCATTTGGTATGTCTTTCGCAGATCAGCACAGCACGGAACAGCCTTGAACTGCGGCCACGCAAGCTCGAGGCATCCTCGCTTTCCCACGCTCACGGCCCACTCAGAAGGAGTCGTCAGTCTAATTCCCTTCCCTCCTTCCCCATCATCACCCCACTGTATCCCCAGCAATCCTGTTCCTCCTTTGAGTGCGAAGCTTCAGGCCGGTTTCTCCTGTAATCAAGCCCCTTAGTAAGAGCTTGCAGGCGTCAAACCAGATACTGCTCATGGCGACTCATCAAGCCTCAAATCACGATGGATACTTGGCTTGAACCGGGACAGCACAAGACTCTTCAAGATTAGGACATAAAACCCCTCATGAGACTTGAGCCTTGAACACCTTTGGGATGGCCGGAAGCTGCTTGAATTTTGATGACGAGACTATGGAGCCTTCGATAAAGACAGGGAGGTGCAAGACTTTTCAGCGTTCAGATGCAAAGGGTCCTCGAGCTGATCGCTGAATATTTGTCACACCGCTGAAGATCACCTGGGGCAACCTGTCGAATCACGGCTGATATTTCGCCTCTTCTGCCCCGTTCATTGCGTTCCATCCTTATCCCGTTCAATTCAAGTTTCTGGTACTGATAAACCATACTCTTTGACCTCCAACAAATCTCGCTAACAACTCTGGAGACAGGTTCAACGTTCAACATGCACCGTATGGATTTATTTACACGCGCCTCTTGATTAAGCTACTCAGCATTCGGAGGATGAGATGTACTGCTTTTTATCGCCGCTGATGGAGACGAGGGTTAACGCGCACCATAGGCATCTACAAGCCCCGCATCTTGACGCTACAGGTGAGATCGGCCCTATCCATATATGTGGATACTTGAAAACTTTGAGTTTCTCAAACATCAACGTTTCCGCTGCGTTCTCGCACATCGCTCCACCCTCAACTCACACGCTACCCGCGCGCAGTACTGCGGCTACACCCAGTGTTCGATTGCACATGTTCCGCGGCATCGCTGAGTAAAACTCAACTTCAACTAACCTGTAACCTGATTCTTATTATTTTGTATTTGTATTTTTATTTGGGTCCTCCAGGCTACGTGAGTTCCCCGATCAATATTGCGTTTTCATCAAGACTGCTGAACCATAGCCCTCCATGCAGGACATTTTCACTTTCCCACAAAATGACTTCGATGCTGGCACTTATTTCTATTGGTCAAGGAGGGTGGCGACACCGCCAACCTTTTAAACCGTTCTCCACCCCTGCCATTCTGCGAGCCCTGGTGCGGTCCCGGTCTTCGTCTATGTAACGGTGCGGTTTCTCCTCCATTTACTCTTCATTTACTCACTAACCTTATAGGGCCTGCAAGCGCACAATGAAGAGGGAATGTTCGTGGGTTAGACTTGCACTTGCTTTCTGGCACAGGTGTTTGTAGATATATACCTTGCGCCATTGATATTCACCTTTTACCATTGTTCACGACCATCTGTGAGCCTCAAACGATAAAAATCATCTGTTCTTTGTGATCTTGAAATGTCAACAGTTGCCTTTCAACATGCACTCATGCCGGAGCGAAGCGAAGGCATATCTTGTAAGGGTAAAACAAGACAACAAGCTGACAAGCCGACAGGCTATGTTCGAAACCCGACAAGTGATTTTTTTTTCTTTTTTTTGAAGTGTGCATTGTCTTCCAGCACTCATTTCTGCGGTCTTTTTTTTTTGGAACAAGAGAAACAAGTGCACAAGAGCACAAGTTTTTTGTCATTTTGCTGATGTGCTCAGTGCCGGAAGTCCCAGCTTCAAGTTACCGATGTTCAACTCCTCCACCAAAATTTCAAACTCCGGTGCGCTGAGGCCAACACACTTCTCTGAGTTGTATATACCGAATGTTTTCGGTATTTTTTGTACAGACTTGCTAGGAGTCTGACCTGGCCGATTGTTACGTGAATAAATTCACGGAAAACATCAACTATGTGTCATTTTAACTTCTTCGGTTTCCGTGTTGATGACAACGACCTGTTGGCACAGTTGGTAGTGCACCGGCTGAAATTTGCCCAGGGAAAAATGAGCTTCTGCAAGAGTCCCCAGCTCAACTTTGGGACAGGTCATGTCCATTTTCTGGACTTTGTTCTTTTTTTCAGTATAAACATTCAGAAAAAACACCTCCCCAATTTGGTGCCTTAATTTGTGAACAGCAACACATTTGTGCAGCCTGTTGCATACAATAACTATATGTGCAAATCTTGAGTAATGATCAATCCTGGGGGGGTCGAATTTGGTTTAGTTTCAAATGTCAACTTTTCTCTCTCATTCATTTCTCCATCCATCGGCACTGCTGGAAAATCCGCACGTGAGCATCTATTACAGCAGACCAAATTGCAGGAGACTGAATCCTTGGTCTCCTTGTATACAAGCAGCGCGCTTTTTAATTCATTTTTATCGGATTCCTAATCTAATGTATTGTAGTTGGGACCCAGACACAATATCTTTCAACACATGGCTCCACCTCGCCACCTGAAATGGTGTTCACTCGCACTGTTCACTCATGCACCTAATGTTGCCGCGACTCGAAAAGTCGAGTCGCGACTTCAAAAGTTGACTTGATGGCTGATTTGACTCAACTCGACTCGACTCAATGAGTCCAAGTCGACTCAAGTCGACTCCAGAGCATATTTTATAAAACAAGCTATTTTGCGGTTCCGGCTTCCTTTGCGGCGGGTTTTGCGACGGAGTCACGGAGGCGTGACACTTGTCACATTGGTGTCACGGGCTCGGTCACGGTCCATCAAAATTCCAGAAATCCGTTTTTCGTGGTGCAAACTACCCAGTACACCTTTTGAGAATTTGGGGTGCCAAGTCGACTTGAAGTCACTCAAGTTGACTTGGAAGTCAACCCGAGTCGCAGCGGCGACTCGACTCAAGTCGGCTACCAACTCGACTTCGAGTCTTCCCAAGTCGGAAGTCACGGCAATATTACATGCACCAATATCTGAGTTCGTTTACCTCATAACCAGCACCAGAGTTTCCAACCTCATGGACGAGATGTATACTGTAAGGAATCTCTCATACCCTGTATCTGTTCTATTCTATTTCTTTTCGTTCGATTACTCTCCTATTATGACTCATCTCTTATCTCATATTAGATTAGATTGTGACTGTCGTAGTTTGTAACGCCAGCACATGATGACTAAATATTAGATACTTACTCCCTCACTTTGCGTACTTCTCGTAGCTTTCCTCCTCGTTGAGTCTCTCCGAGTCCTAGGATCCTGTGTTCGTAGAGTCTCTCCGAACACTTGACTGGAATTCTACGCAGAGCTGCAAAGTGAATCTACACTACTCTAGGGCTATATACGTGGTCAACCCAACTTGGGATCATCTCGCAGATACGTCTCTGCTCTCCTGAATATTCAAGAGAGTAAGGAAGTCTCAGCATTGGGAGGTTGAAGATTCAACTCCCGCTGAGGCCCCGCAAGTACGGACTGAGGGATTCTAGGTCTAATACACATTGTAAAGCCCGAACAACTGTTTGGGATCTACATCAAGGAATTACGCCATTTAGACTCGTTAGAGCCTACATATACCACCTCGGGAGGCAATGCTGGATGGGAATGCCGGCAGGCCCTAAACTCTAATTCTGCAGTTTATTGCATTTTGAACCTTGGGGCTTCCTCTGAAGACTCAGATATCGAAGACAAGGACAATCACAAAGAGCCTGGCAAGGGGACCAATAGCAAGAAGTGACAGCTGAAACCCCCTCGAGGCACAGTCAAAAAGCAGATGACCGACGACTTGTTTAAGGCCCAAAAAGGTGCTGTGAAAGCTTGCGGAAAGAACAGTAGCGGCCAAGAGGGGGGTAAGTAATATGAGTGAGTGCGCATAGAAAACTAGTCACCACTGGCCTCCAATGTTGTGCTACAAACACTCTATTTGCTTTCCAATGCATTTATTTTACGGTGTTTATTGCTGATTCTCAAATTACATGTACCAACGATGCAGATACCTATCTCGTGAGTTTCCTGAGGAAAGCTGATCAACAGTTGCTGTGTTGATGGCCATCCTAAACTTGGACTTTGCGGAGGCATCTCGGCACATAGCTGTCAATCACTGTTGAGCAGCTTCTAGCCAGCTGACCCCATGACCATCAGTTTCCATGGCACTCAAAGCCAACCTTTCCATGGGAAAATATATCAAAGCAATGTGAGAATCGGATTTCTAAGCTATTTGTCAGCAGATACCATCCGTAATATATTATCTATCCAGCCAAATTAGCCAGTTGGCCGGTTACTAAATATAAGAGATTTCAATGGTAATTCAGGTGTCTGGCCACTTGTATGGTGGAATAAGACTCACGAGGATGATGCATGTCAAGTATTGACCCAGGGATCAAGAGTTGTGGCAGGTTTTTGATCAAGATGCCGGCGTGTGAACATCATTCTTATCCCTGAATGGTCCCCATGTTTGTTTCTTCCTTGTTTCCCTACCAATTCCTGGCTCATTTTCAAGGTTCTGGCCTGGTTCTGATCCCTTAATTTGTGGGAACAACACTACCACATGTAATCATTTGAACATGTATCGCCATGTTAGACATCATTTATTGGCAAAGCCTAAATTTCCCACATCCTCCAATATGAAGTATTTTCATGAATGTTTTCTATCACTAATGGCGTATGAATTAGCTGAGTAGAATCATCTGGTTTTTATGGGGATTGGACAAGAAGTGAGCAAGTTATCGGTAATTCTTCCAAAATGTCAGAAAACAGGCAACCTTTGGTTCTGACAATAGCTGTAAGGAATGTCCCTGGTCACGGAGCGCTCGAAACTGCACTACCATGTCAACAGAGGTGTGCTAAAAAAAAAAGGCAGTTCAATTGACAACGACTGAACTATAGAAACCTAAGCTATGGAAGTAAACACTATCACACAGTCCTATTAAGGGTGTTCCACCAGTGGCAGTGATAACACTTTGCCCACTCGGTACCATAAGCAAATTTATCATATGAAAGCAAAGTTTGCTGTCTGCCAATTATGAGTTTGTTAAGAGGCATCCAGAATCCAATTCTGTGTTCATGAGGCAGCCAGAAGAGCAATTTACCGGTGCTAGACAAGACCCAGCCTTCCTGAATAGTCCAAAAAGGAGAACATAAGGGATTTCAGGCTGAAATAGAAGAGAGTAAACCCTGGGAACCTATAGAAGAAGTTAGAGCTTACTTTGATAAAAGTGCTGCAATAGGAGATGGGCAAGCCTGATTGAAAGGGTGTTGTGTTGAAGTGGGCACCTGGAGAGCATCCTGTGAACACATATGACTGTCCTGGGAGCTAGGAACAATATGCTTCCATCTGGGGAGAAGGCTACTGATGTGACCAAACCAGTGTGGCCTTTTAATGGCTCGCCCAGTGGTGCTCCACTCTCTGCATCCCAACAAGCGCACAGTGCTGTCATCGGAGCCAGAGACAATATGCTTCCCATCTGGGGAGAAGGCTACTGATGTGACGCAACCAGTGTGGCCTTTTAATGGCTCGCCCAGTGGTGCTCCACTCTCTGCATCCCACAAGCGCACAGTGCTGTCATTGGAGCCAGAGACAATATGCTTCCCATCTGGGGAGAAGGCTACTGATTTGACCCAACTAGTGTGGCCTTTTAATGGCTCGCCCAGTGGTGCTCCACTCTCTGCATCCCACAAGCGCACAGTGCTGTCATTGGAGCCAGAGACAATATGCTTCCCATCTGGGGAGAAGGCTACTGATCTGACCCAACTAGTGTGGCCTTTTAATGGCTCGCCCAGTGGTGCTCCACTCTCTGCATCCCACAAGTGCACAGTGCTGTCAGAAGAGCCAGAGACATGCTTCCCATCTGGGGAGAAGGCTACTGATGTGACCCAACCAGTGTGGCCTTTTAATGGCTCGCCCAGTGGTGCTCCACTCTCTGCATCCCACAAGCGCACAGTGCTGTCATCGGAGCCAGAGACAATATGCTTCCCATCTGGGGAGAAGGCTACTGATGTGACCGAATTGGCGTGGCCTTTTAATGGCTCGCCCAGTGGTGCTCCACTCTCTGCATCCCACAAGCGCACAGTGCTGTCAGAAGAGCCAGAGACAATATGCTTCCCATCTGGGGAGAAGGCTACTGATGTGACCCAACCAGTGTGGCCTTTTAATGGCTCGCCCAGTGGTGCTCCACTCTCTGCATCCCACAAGCGCACAGTGCTGTCATCGGAGCCAGAGACAATATGCTTCCCATCTGGGGAGAAGGCTACTGATGTGACCGAATTGGCGTGGCCTTTTAATGGCTCGCCCAGTGGTGCTCCACTCTCTGCATCCCACAAGCGCACAGTGCTGTCAGAAGAGCCAGAGACAATATGCTTCCCATCTGGGGAGAAGGCTACTGATGTGACCCAACCAGTGTGGCCTTTTAATGGCTCGCCCAGTGGTGCTCCACTCTCTGCATCCCACAAGCGCACAGTCCTGTCATCGGAGCAGAGACAATATGCTTCCCATCTGGGGAGAAGGCTACTGATGTGACCCAACGAGTGTGGCCTTTTAATGGCTCACCCAGTGGTGCTCCACTCTCTGCATCCCACAAGCGCACAGTGCCGTCATTGGAGCCAGAGACAATATGCTTCCCATCTGGGGAGAAGGCTACTGATGTGACCGAATTGGTGTGGCCTTTTAATGGCTCGCCCAGTGGTGCTCCACTCTCTGCATCCCACAAGCGCACAGTGCTGTCAGAAGAGCCAGAGACAATATGCTTCCCATCTGGGGAGAAGGCTACTGATGTGACCCAACCAGTGTGGCCTTTTAATGGCTCGCCCAGTGGTGCTCCACTCTCTGCATCCCACAAGCGCACAGTGCTGTCAGAAGAGCCAGAGACAATATGCTTCCCATCTGGGGAGAAGGCTACTGATGTGACTGAATTGGGTGTGGCCTTTTAATGGCTCGCCCAGTGGTGCTCCACTCTCTGCATCCCACAAGCGCACAGTGCTGTCATCAGAGCCAGAGACAATATGCTTCCCATCTGGGGAGAAGGCTACTGATGTGACGCAACCAGTGTGGCCTTTTAATGGCTCGCCCAGTGGTGCTCCACTCTCTGCATCCCACAAGCGCACAG